CTCTATAAATCTAAAACTAAGAAAAATACCCAACTCTTGGGAGGCTAAGCCAGGAGGATTGACGTAATTTGGGTGGGTCTTTTCTATTTCTGTCTCTTTTTTTTTTTCTTTGAGACAGGGTTTCACTATGCAGTTCAGGCTGGCCTTGAACTCACTTTGTAGCCCAGACTGGATTGCTGCAAATTTGAGGCCAGCCTGGGCTACATAGCAAAACACTATCTCTAAGAAACCAAAAATTGTCAGGCATGGTAGCTACACTTGTGATCCAGCACTTGGGAGGCTGAGGCACGAGGATCACTGTGAGTTCGAGGCCAGCCTAGGCCACACAGTGAGTTTGAGGTCAGTGTGGACTACATGGTGAGACTCTGTCTACAAAAATAAACAAAATAATGACCCAAAGAAGAGCACTTTGTGAGGACATTGTGATCATGAGGCTCCATAAGGTACTTTCTGAGCTACAGATAAAGGTACTTTTAAATCATGAGCTCTAGGGCTGGGGATATAGCTCAGTGGCATAAACACCTGCTTGGCAAGCGCAAAGTCGTGAGTTCAATCCCTGGTACCACAAAAAAGAAAAAAAAAAAATCATGAGCTCCAACCCCTGGAGAGTGGGCTGCAGGGTACTGTGGTTGGAGTATAACCCTAGATCCACCTCATCAGCCCAGAGTGGCTGGGGGTTAACGCACCACCCAGCTGAAACCGGCCCATGGGGAGGTGGCTTCAGCCCCATCACACACTAGCACCAGGTAGCACCGGGGTTTCGAGCCAGCCTTTCATCATTTCTCTGCCATCTGAGACCACAAGTTTCTGAAGCAGCTGAGACTGGGGGCTGGATCCTGAGGGCATGAACCTCTCCAAGTCTGCTGGCTGTTGGGCGCTGTTGGTCTAAGTGATTAAAAGCGAAGAAGAGGCCAGGGATTTAGCTCAGCAACACAGCGTCTGCCTGGCAAGTGCGAGGTCCTAATTCTCGTTACAAAAAAAAAAGAATATTTTGTGACATGTGAAAATTATATGGCATGAGCCAGGCATGGTGGCGCACGCCTATAATCCCAGCACTTGGGAGGCTGAGGCAGGAGGATCGTTGCGAGTTCAAGGCCAGCTTGGACTACAAAGTGAGCTCAAGGCCAGCCTGAACTACATAGCAAGACCCTGTCTCAAAAAGACAAAAAAAAATTATATGGCAGCCAGGCATGGTGGCGTGTGCCTGCAATCCCAGCACTTGGGAGGCTGAGGCAGGAGGATTGTTGGGAGTTCGAAACCAGCCTGGGTTACAAAGTGAGCGCAAGGCCAGCCTGAACTGCATAGCGAGACCCTGTCTCAAAAAGACCAAAAAAAAAAAAAAATATATATGGAATTCAAATTTCAGTGTCCACAAATAAAGACCTGTTGGGATGCAGGAACATGCATCTGTGTACAGGTTTCCTGTGGCTGCTTCTTGCTGCCGACCAGCATCGGTAGTGTGGAGGGAGTGTTTTGGCCACAAGCGTGAAGTATTTACTGCTGACTCCTTCCCGCAAAGGTTTGCCTGTCCTTGCTCGACAGCACTGAATGGCTCTGCAGCGGCTTGGAAGAGTTGGGGTAACTAAAGTGTTCTTGGGAAGGGTGACGCAGAGAACACTGGACTCAGCTTTGTTCAACTGGGGGAAGCGGCTAAGAAAGAAAGCGTGAAGTGTGACAGAAGGCAGAGGACAGTGCTTTCCAGCTGTCTTAGGCCAGGGAAGGAAGATGGCCTTTTGATACATGAAACACACGGGTGGCTCACTAGAGATGCTGCACAGCACGTGTGAGGCGCGCAGTGGCGAACGTAGTGATGTTTTCTCACGGTGTGTTCATGTGACTGTGAAACCCCATTCACATTATTATTACCAGCGTGGCATTTAACCCTAACGTAACTTACACAGACAGACTTAGTCATTATTCCCATGTTCAAAATAGAGGACATCGCCGGGGATATAGCTCAGCGGCACAGCGCCTGCCTGGCAAGCGCAAGGTCGTGAGTTCGATTCCCAGTACAAAAGAAAAAAAAAAGAGGACATCACACTGAGAGGCTGAGGCAAAAGGATCGCAAGTTCAAGTCCAACCTGGGTAACTTAGTGAAACCCTGTCACAAAAAAAAAAAAAAAAAAAAAGCTAGGGAGGTAGCTGTAGCCCAGTGCAAAGGCCATGGGTTCAATCCCCACTACCACAAAATACTAGCAAAAGACATCAAGTGAAATACACTTTGAACAGGAAAATAACCCTCTCTTTGCTAATTCCATACTACTGTGCACATGGACACTGCGAGACAACAGAGGAGCTCCAGGGACGGAAAGCAGAGGTCGTCCGCCTCGCCCCTCTTGGACCCCCGAGCAAGCTGTCGGTGGGAAGCCACGCCCTGTGCCTCTCGCTGCCCAGCTTGGAGAGACACAGAGGAGCAGTGAAGTGGCCAAGAGGTGGCAGCACACTGGAGGAGGAGCAGAAGCAGATGCTAAACAAAGGGCCGCCACTGGGACTCGCGGCCGTGAGCGCACTGCCCGAACTCTCTTCCTGATTCTCATTAGCACGTGTGCAGCGCGTGAGGCTCACATTCAGTGTGCGGAGTTGGTGTGTGGACAGGCCTGTGTCACCTTGTGCGGCAAAAAAGAGAAACCCTCTCTCTTGCCAGATGTGGTGGCACGCCTGTAATCTTTTTTTTTTTTTTTCTGCGGTACCGGGGATTGAACTCACGACCTTGCACTTGCCAGGCAGGCGCTTATGCCACTGAGCTAGATCCCCAGCCCACACCTATAACCTTAACACCCTGACGCTGAGGCATGAGGATCACATGCTTAAGCCCAGCTTAGGCAATGTAGCAACTCGGCAAAACCCTGTCTCAAAATAAAAAAAGTTTGGTGGTGTAGCTCAGTGTGCTCTGGGTTCACTCCCCAGGACTACAAAACGAGGAGGAGGAGAAGTAGTAGTAGCAATAACCCCTTTCTCTAGGTCTTCTGTAACCGAATAAAAATTTCAAAGCAAGTGCCAAAAAAAATACAACTGCCTAAAGCACCATTCTGATTTATTTTTTAATTTTTTTTTGAGACAGGGTCTTGCTATGTAGTCCAGGCTGGCCTGGAACTTACTTATGTAGCCCATGCTGACCTTGAACTCACAGTGATCCTCCTGCCTCAGCCTCCGCAGTGCTGGGATTACAGGCGTGCGCCACCACGCCAGGCAGCACGGTTCTGAATGCCGTGAATTACAGCCTCACTTTAGAATACTTTTTACGACTTGATTTTTTTTTCTTGGAGATGTTTTCCAGCCTTCCAAGTACAGTGCTGGGATGACAGGTGCACCACTCTGCCTGGCAGATCTAAGCTGTCACTGTAGAAAACGCTGAACATGGTTTCTAGCGGTCAGCACTCGTGATTAAATGAGAGCATTAAGGTTTTTTTTGAGAGCAGGTTTTCGGTGAAACACAGCGTGACTTGCATACAGGAATGTCCATGTGCACTGCAGCACCTCGGCTTCTAAGTCAGGGCTTGTATGACGGTGAAAGTTGAACATTGGCTTTTGTTTTCAGCCGAATATGCTCTTTGAAAAGAGACTGCTTCCATTATGCCATTAGTTTTAATAACAATTTTAAACTTTACAAAGAGTTTGGAAATTTGATAATATTTAGATAAGCAACTGGGAAAATATTTAATCATTTAATTTTTAAAAAGACTATAAAATTCTCTTAATTTTTAAAAAAAGTTCATGGGAAGGAGAATTTAGAAGAAAACTATCTTTAGAAAGTTAAAATATACAGGGGCTGGGGATTTAGCTCAGCGGCAAAGCGCCTGCCTGGCAAGCGCAAGGTCGTGAGTTCGGTTCCCGGTAC